ATGTAAAAAGCAACCCATTGCATTAAATGTACATTGCATGCCTGATTTAAAGCAACCCATTGCATTTTCTAGGTCTCAGGCCTTTGGCTACCTGGGTCATCATTTCCAGACCAAGACTGAGCTTATATCATATATGTTCATTTGCAAAAAGTTCTTTAGGCAAAAGATTCTTCCAACCTAAAAACCATTTGATCACTTCTTCAAAGAGTGGGTTTGAACATAACCAGTGGTACAAGACATCGTGCCACTTGTTGAAGAAGATATCTCGAACGGGAAGCAAGTGATGGATTGGAATATGAGTAGACCATGTTTGGACCCACTCAAACAGATCAAGTTTCTGGTTCCCTGCAAGATTCATCGTCACTTGAAATTCTTCCATGTCATCCGATAACTTTAGGTCGATAAATTTTATCGTGAGTTCTTCCCAAGTGTCTAGATCAAACACGATCTTCCATGGTGATAGTATGGAGTAGGCAGACTCATCACTTGGATCCCATTCATCAAGTACAATACTTGCCAATTTGTGACGTATTTTGGGATAACATGTTTCAAGTTTTTGTCCCAACAGAGGAGCCATGAATGAATCCAAGAGTGGATTGGCATCTCCTCCTCCTAAGGGGATCCCACAGGTTAACCCGTCAACAACAGGTAATAATTTAGGAAAAACAACATTATCAAGAATTGTGCAAAGAACAGTAGGCGGCAACAACTTTTCCAAGGTATCCAGAAATCAAAGCATGGGTTCTAGGTCTCTTGCCTGCCAATTGCTGGTCCCTGATGTTTTTACTGCTGGAAAAACAACTTCCATAAACAACTGAGTATAGAAACCAAAAGAGTGCTCTTCTTCTTCTTCCAATCATAACAGATCCTTCCATGGTGGAACATCCTCTAATCTATGAGTACTAGATCGGCGAAAAGAAGAGAAGAGCAAATGAATTTATTCAGGGTATATGAAATTAGGGTTAGAGTGAGTTCGGGCCAGATTATATCTCGCCCTGTTGGATCTTTACACGGCTTGGACCAAGCCGTGTAAAGATCCAACGGGGCGAGATATAATCCGGCCCGAACTCGCTCTAACCCTAATTTCATAAACACTGAATAAATTCATTTGCTCTTTCTCTTCTTTTCGCCGATCTATAGTCTGCGCGAGCCAGTACAAAAAGAGGCAGCGAGAGTTTGGAGGGGAAGAGCAAAAATGGAAGAAGTGATGGAAGTCGCCGCTCAGATTCCTCAGGAACAAACCCCTCAGACAGGCATCTTGCTGTTCAATCGCTGGACCTACGATGAAGTTCAGGTCTTTCATCCGAAATCCTTCATTTTTTTCTGTTTTTTTTCTTTCGATCGTTTACGTTTCAGATTTTATGCCTACAGTATCTGTTTATTCGAGCTTGGTCGTACGTAATTTCAGTTTTAGATCGGAATGCTGTTGTAGATTCAGTGCATAGATTTACGGATGGAATGATTGAAAATTTGAAGTAGATTATGTATTTAACGTTGCAATTTATGTGCTGGAATTGAGAAATAAAGTCCAATTAGCAGAGCAAGGGCGCCGATCTGTTTGATTTGGCGATATTTGAATTGAAGTTGGGCAAAAATGATTTTGTTAATTCGCGATTCTCCGTGCCTTTCAGATCTTTGCCGTTTTGATTTGGCCTAGAACAGATCGCAACATGATTTGACTTTTTTGAATATTGAAAAATTCATATATGTTGTGATTCATACTTTAAATCAGTGCCTTCTTCTGTGTGTGCCATGAATGGTTCTGTACAGGTTAGCGATATATCGGTGGATGACTATATTACTGCTACTGCTTCCAAGCATCCCACATATACCCCACACACTGCTGGTAGGTATCAAGCAAAGAGGTTCAGAAAGGCACAATGCCCCATTGTGGAGAGGCTGGTGAACTCTTTGATGATGCACGGGAGGAACAATGGCAAGAAGCTAATGGCTGTCCGCATTGTCAAGCATGCGATGGAAATCATCCATTTGCTTACTGATTCTAACCCAATTCAAGTCATTGTGGATGCTGTCATCAACAGGTTTTTTTTGGACAATATATTTTACTTTCCTGCCATGGTTTACTGTTACGTTTCTCTGTTTTTTTACAAGTTTGTGTTCATTTGAATCTGATTATATTGTATGAGTTATTTGCAAAATGTGGATCATATCAGTTCATTTGGGATGTTAGCATTTTTATTGTGTCAATCATGAGGTAAAAATTTAATGTGAGGTAAAAAAACCTTATTTTTGATGTATATTTTGAATTTAATGTTTTGCAATGTTTAAAGTAAAAAAATTTAGGATTGTATTGATCAAATGGAATAATAAGTTCTTCAAAATCAAGGGTTTTTTTATGTTAATTGGTGTGTTTTGAGTGCGATAGATTATCCATGAACTCTCTTTTCAATCCTGTATTTTTTCCCTGCTCTATCAAGTGAACATGAAGAAAATTAGTAGTTTTTAAATCTTTCCATTATTTGGGGGTTATCTTTGTTTTTGCGTTCTACTCTCTTCTCATTGTTGGCAACTTTTGGAACTCTTTATTTCTTTTTGGATTACTTACACTATGGTTCAAGGAATTTGAAAGGGAAAAGAAAAGAAAATGAAGTTGAAAATAGTTGTACTTGTTTGGTTAGAGGGGAAAAGAAAGGAAAAGTGGAAGGAAAAGAAAATGAGAAGGCAAAATGTACCAAGTAGAGGGAAAACCAATTTCCTCCCATTTTGGTCAGGAAAATGAGAACCATTTTCTTTTCTTTTCTTTCCAAATTCTTTGAACCAAACGTAGGGTTAGTTTGTTTTTGTAGTTCACTAACCCTTTATGATTATAACAGTGGCCCAAGGGAAGATGCTACCCGTATTGGATCTGCTGGTGTTGTAAGGCGCCAGGCTGTTGATATCTCTCCTCTCCGCCGTGTCAACCAGGCTATTTATCTGCTCACTTCAGGTGCTCGCCAAAGTGCCTTCCGCAACATTAAAACAATTGCAGAGTGCCTTGCTGATGAGCTCATCAATGCTGCCAAGGGCTCTTCTAACAGGTAAATGAATCCTAACGACATTTAGTTTCTGTGGATGTTACAATATCTACTCTAATTGAGAGGATTGGTTTTCATACTAAATGTTGTTTTTTTGCAGTTATGCAATCAAGAAGAAGGATGAGATTGAGAGAGTTGCCAAGGCTAACCGTTAAGAGGTGGTTCTCCTTGTGGGATGTTTTTGCTAGTTTTATGTTATGAAGATATTGGTTCCTTGTTGAGGATTGTTGTTATTATGTTCTTGTTTTGAATTCTTGTTGGGAGTTTTTCTATGTATCAGCATTATCTATAACTTTTGATAGAAGGCTTTCGAGTCTACTTTTAACCTTTGCCAGTTGAATTTGGGTCTTTGCTGCTTGGTTGTTTGTTATACTCCATAGTATTTTCCCAATATTTTTTTGTTTAATGGCATGTTTTATTATATTTGTGTGCTATATGTGCACTTATTTTTCATGAAATTAGTATAAAAATGAACCATATGATTTACTTGTGCATTTTTAATTTTTGTTTCTCCCTATCTTAAAGATAGGGCAGTAGAGAGGGGGGATGCCTTTTATCTCAAATTGTTCTTCCTGGTCTGATTAGTTTTCGTGCACCCGTGCCAAAATCTTGTGTTCAAATCAGCCTTTTTTTGGTACAATC